CCTTTCCACACTCTTGCTCTGCCTCCACCCAGCTATGTGTGAGTTGCAGCAGATTGGTGTAATGGCAAGCTGTTGTGGTTGGCCTATTGGCCCCTCAGCAACTCTTGTGTCTGTGCTCTCAAATGGTTGAGCTCCTTTTAAGGAAATAAAATACCGAAGCAGCTCAGAGCGAGGACACTTGCCTGCACCAGTAACTAGCTACTCGTGCAGGTTACCACCTCTGAATGCCCATGACCAGGAGGGAAGACCCCATGATGCGAAGGCAACACCAGGTTCCTGGTGATGCCAGGCACTGAGGCTCTGCAGCTACACGGCCTTCTGCTTCAGTAACGGGGTTGCAGGAGGGAGGTAACATCAGTCACTTGACACTGGAGGAGAAAAATGTCAAAAAGCTCTATCCTTTTAAAGTCCCCTCCCATACTAGCATCCTTTATTTTAAACAAATAGAGAGTTTCTAAATTCATACAAATCTCATCTGTCTTCTACTGATGTCTAGGATCACCTCGATCACCTTGACTTGTTACTTCTGTCAGTTGTCCAACAGTTTCAACCCAGTTTTGTGAGATGACTTCTCCCCACCTCTTCCTCTCAGAAAGAAGAATATCTGTACGCATTACATATTCCAAGTCCAGACTGTAATCTGTGGCTATGCTGGTGATCACTTTTTTCAGTGAGAACCCCTTGACTTCTGTGTTGGAAGTCTAAATGATCATCTTCAGCATCGGAATGCTGCCAGTGCAGAAATGGTGAGCCCACAGCCTCTTTCCGAGGCCAGTAAGACCATGAGATGGCTTTTTTTTTTTTATCCATCGATGACCAGCTACAGTATGGGGAATTATGGATAAAGGAAGGCACTGCTTGATTTTCTAGGCAAACACTACCACTGCAGCAAATGGCTTTTTCTAAGTAGTGTCTAAGCTGCAGCTCCCTGAATCATTAGCTTCCCACATATGGCTTGAATTAAGATGCAGTCCCAGGGCAGAAACAGACCTAAATTGCAACTGTCTACCACGTACAGGATGTTCAGTACTGATTATCCACAAAAGGTGCATGCAACATCTAACCTGAAACTTGAATGGAGACAGTAAGAACCAACAGAAGATATTTCAAACCAGCTCCTATGCTATAGCTTAGCATGGGAAATAGGGCTACCCACCCAAAATAGGATGCAACATGCTAATTCCTAATGGAATGGAATTTCAGTGAGATGTGTATTTCTAAATAAATTGGACCAAAATTTCAAAAGGATATTTAGGAGAGATGGTAAAAGAGACTCTAGTGCCTTAAAGAGACATGAAAATCTAGCTCTTTGCTCATCTGAAAATGTTCCCTGCGTTTCCTAGAAAAACTAAAGGTAGAGCAGGTGGGTGAGCAGAGTAAAAAAATAAAATAATAAAAAAGTTATAGCTGCCAGATCAGCCTGACAAGGAAATTTGAGGTGGAGAATAGGACAAGGAAGGAAGAAGATCTAGTGGACAGAGCAGCAGAAATGATGTTTGGAGGAGGAAGCTGCTCCACACATAGTGGCATTCTGGGAGTTACAACATTAAAAACATAGCAAGCTTATCAAGCAAATGAAGAAATGTAGCAGTGAACAGAACATGTATTTTAATATGTTTCTACTTTGCTGTGCTGGTTGGGGTTATCACTAGAAACTGTTGATGACTTTGCTTCTGCAAATTACCTTTTCACAGCCATTTATCATTTTCACATTGGTCAGAAGCGACCCATGTCTTGGATGCCTCTGCCTGGGAACAGGAGTGAAAGCATACATTTCATGAACCTCTAGATGCCTCCCTTCTGAAATTTACACCCTTTCTCATCATTTTAAGTGAGACACTCAAAAACTGAAGGCACCAAATAAAATCTGGCAAGTGAACGGAGTACTTTAACTTCTGAAGTCTACTACACCTTCACTCTCAGAACAGGAGAGGTATTTCAAACGGTTCTCTCGATCAGGTCCATAGCACCACATTCAAGTCTTAGTCTAGGGTTGGAAGAAGCAAGAAAGGAGGTACTTGAAAACACGTGGAGGAGCTAGACCCTATCTTTCTTTTCTGAAAATAACACGTTTCCCCTAATCTTTGACCTTTAAAATGCTAAACTGATGAAAGAGGTAATTAAACTTTTGATTCCAGGATTAAAGGTTTCATGAGGTGTTACTACAAATCTGAGTAAGCAAACGGTCATTTGAGCATTTCTATTTCAGAGGCTGATTAAAATTAACAACAGATTTCTCACCTAATTTTAGTAAGATGAGGTAAATACTCTTTTTATTTAAGAAATCTGCAATTTCCTTTGCTACCTCTATAACACTACATGTACAAAAAAGTCCTCCAGAGCCTAGTGGCCTTCTTCCATAAGTGTCTGACTCAAAGAACCCTTCCTCAGTGCATGCGGGATGGACAGCTGATCTCTCAGGGCGTTACAGGTTAAGTGGAATGCACTGTAAATCACATGTTGAAATACAGCGAAGTGCATAGGGGATTCCCTTTTGCCAAAGGAAGCAGGTGAGACATTAGGAAAGTAATATAGAGAAAAATTGTTGCCTGCTTGTATCTGCTCATATGCGTCGCCTGTCAGTTATCATAGGCCACAGCCTATCTCCCAGCTACAAGATATATATAATATCAGTGGGTCTTTACAATACTCTCCTGCCTATCTATCGTTCTTCAAACTAGTTTTTCAGATCACCCTTTTCTACCTAAGCTTGGTCATAAATAGTGGTGAGAAAGAGCTCTTAGGACTTGGAGATGACAGTGTTGCACTGAACACCAATCCTAGCTATGCTGCCATGCCACTGCCTACATAGAAAGACAATCCCCTTCATCCCTAATAGATCTATGGGATCATATAGGCCACACATCACTCCTAAAACATTGCTTTATCCCTAACAGATTTTCTTTTGATGGTGATCCAGAATGTGCATAGCAATCATACAGCTCCTGATATGTTTGGGGTATGTGTTCAGACACTTTCTGTAAAAAAGGAGAATTAATTTTTTCAGTATACTGTTTTCAAAAAGTTAGTTTAGGGCTAGAAAGAGGAGCAGTAGAAGAGGTAAAAGTGTATGCAGTTTTACAGAAAAGACAAACATTGCAAGCACTGGAGTTGATACCTACAGTTAAGATCTTCCATAAAACAGGGTACTGTGAATTGTCTTTGTTTCTGTTGACTATGGTAAATATCTCACTACAAGATGTTACCCTTCAAAACCAGAGAGCTATGGGTAGAGAAAGTGGCTGTAGAAGAAATGTTGAAGTCAGGACATGGAAAATCTAATTTATTGCTGAGTGCACAAAGTAAAACTAATAAGAACAATAGAGGGAACTTATCATGTTTAAAACACCAAAAATAACATTTTCTCCTTCTTTTGTTACAGTAACTTCTAGTATGTGTTTATATTACATATAATTGAAGTATTGGGAGAATTGTTGCATCATCAGCAAATATAAATCTCACCTTTGCTGGTTCTGTATGATATTTGTGAGGTGAAGTAAATTCAATGCAATCAAAAATCCTTTTTGTTTGTTTGGGTTTCAACATGGGATTTTTAAAAAATTATTATTATTTTTTAAATCAAGGCTTAAATATTTGTGGGGTTTAGTTACAGTTTAGTTTAGTTTAGTTTAGTTTAGTTCAGTTTAGTGGGAAAAAGGAGGCTTAACTCATTTTATTGAGTTGATACACAAACAATAAAGGCAAGATTTTGTTCAAAGAGTTTTGGACTGAGAAAAATAACATTTTTAAAAATTAATTTGTTCATAAGGTATGTCAATATGTATGTAGGGGCTAAACTTTATGCTCACATTTTTGATAAGAGGGGATCAAGTTGTAAATAAAGCAAAGATACATAAGATGCTGCATTCTCTATTAGCTAGGGATGGAGTTTGGGATTAGGGTCTATTCCTAAAGCTGACACCATCCTGCTGGTTTACCTTGATGTGGTTGTTTTGCCTGTGCCTCCCTTTTCACCTACCATGCCTTATTGGACTTCCTTAGACAAAATTATCATTTGAAGGCATGTGCAATCTTTCTGTAAACATTCTTCCACCCTGACCCTCATTCTTACAATAGGAATGTAAAAATGATGAGCAATACTTTTATTTGTGGATAAACAAACTTTTTTTGATAGTCACTCCTCTCCTGAAATATTTTTATCATATAGGGCATTGATCACAACATTCTGCGAGTCACTGTGCTTTTTTTTGCTTTTTTTTTTCCTACTAGTAAATAAGCATCATGCTCAAGTAATATAATCTAGTCTTTTTTAGTGGGCTACATGTGAGCTGATGAATGTAGTAGTCAGCAGCATTGCTAGACCTTGGTGTGGAGTCTGGGATCCCTAAGAAAAATCAGCATTTTGCAAAATCATCTCTGAACAATCAATTATTTTAATCCAACAGACTTTATCGATTGTGGACTTGTACCTAGAAGAACAAAACTCAAGCGTTTTCTAAAGTTCTCCCAGTTAAAATAATCAAGGGTGAATGAAGATCAGATATTGGAATCTGAAACATATGAACACTATGTGTGTTCTAATATGGCATTTCTGGAAAAATATGAATAGCAGATAACACTCAAGATAGCAGTCAAATTAGTAATAAAAATAAAAATACCTGAGAGTTTACTGGTTTTTTGTTTTATCTGAGTTCAGATAATTTTGACCTGGAACCAGAGATTTAATTCCATTTCCTATGCAGAATGAAAACCATCTTTCCAGGGCAGAATTTCATGCTATCAGTCATGCTTTAGAAATAAGGTAAAAAATAGGATTTTTATAACTTCTCTGTGGATGAAAAGGCTTGCTTTCCTTCAAAATGCCTTTCCCAAAGAGAAGATTGGACAAAACCCACTAAGCACCTGAGTAATCCTGTGCTGAACAAGATGAAAAAGCACAGGACCTGCTTGTATACCAGCTTCCTATGTAGTACTTAGACATTATTGGCATATTATATTATGTACTAATATTTCTTATCAGAGTGGACTAGCCATCTTACCCAAGACTCTCTCATTCTTAACACTCTGTTGTCCTCCAGTACTAGTTGAAAGGTCTTCTGGTACAGGCATTGGTTCATCTGCATCATCTGGGACATCACTAATTGGAGGACTTTCCTTTCCTAGTAGTGAAGAAAGTAGCATCAGTGAGTCATCAGAAGAGCCTCATTTCCAAATACCATAAAAGGAACCACAAACCAAGTAAAACTTAACAAAAAATCTAAATACTACTAAAAAACATGACATTCTTAGGACCAAAACCTGCTGTCCTGCAGAGATGGTTTCTTTTGACTACAGAGGAATTACATTTGGGAAAAGAATACATGGCCAATGTCTTTTCCAAATTTACTGAAATCTGGATACACAGTTATCAGTCTTACCCTTTTGGATATTTGTAACACACATGGGTATTTTTCAGCTGCTATGCTCAGAAGATCCAGTTTAGCCAATGTAGACTGACAGATTACAGCAGTTATCAGTCATCTTTTGTAAACCTCTTCTTTCTTCCACAAACGCTCCTTGAGAGCACATCCAGTTTTTCTTCAATGGCATAGTGAAGTCTAATGCACAAGTATTCTGGGGCTCTAACAGAACTACCCAAAAAATAAAATTTTATCTCCAGCTAAAAATTCAACTACATCTTCAGGAAGCTTCACTAATACCCACAGAACAAGCTTTGGTCTTGTGCCTATAAGTAATTAAGTGCCTGTAGCTCCTGGGACTTCCTAAAACATGTACAATTAGCAGAGGTCAGTCAAAACATGACTTCCAGGGTTTTATGGTCTTTTATTTGTAAAGAGGAGACAAACCCCAGTATCTTGTGTACACAAGGTTTTGCAGAAGAAAACAGTCTGGTGCTTTAGCATGTTGTAAGTATTATGGAACTGTTTGAGTGCCAAATGCAACACAATAAGGAAAACAACACTCTTGCTAAGTATTGCCCTGCCAGATATGGTGAGATTTCTCGGTTTAACTCTCAGTCACAGCATACATGTCCTGCCCACAGTACTATCCCTGCCTTGCAGAGATTCTTTTAAAATTACTTCACACATCTGTAACAAAAGCATGCCTTGGAAACAACTACCAAAAGAATTATCTAAGTGATTAGTTTCATTGGCTGTTACTAAAAGGCTGGACTTTGCATTAATAGCAAAGAATGGAATAGGCCCAGAGCAGGATTTGAATGTAATGATGTTCACATAGGTCTTTATCTCCAAAATGGAGATGTTACCAATTTACACTATTAGATGTCCCATGGCAATTGGCACACCAGCAAGGGCAGTAATTTCATGGCACAAAGGCCTAGGAAATTAATGTTTTTTCTAATGAGAATTCCCTCATTAACGCACAAACATTAATTAATTCTGAAATCACTTCTCAGAAAAGGAAAAGTTAAACCAAATACAGCTTACTCAGAGTGACAACAGTCTGGCGATGCCAGTTACGGATTTGACCTGAAAGAAGAAAATTTCTTCCTCCCAACCTCCTGGATGGAGCAAAGCATCGTGTTTTCCAATCTATACTGATCGTGATGGGATGGAAATGACAGGTAGGTTTAAGTCATCTTCCAAAATAGCTGGTTTGGGTTGTTTGCACAAATCTAGGTTTAAATGAACGGAATGAGTGTGTGACTACATTTCTTAATGATGCGTCTATCAGGCTGTGGAATAATCTCTGAGCAGGGGTGGTGGGAGCGGCATCAGGTGGACCACCTAAAACTGCAGCCAGAGCACTCAAGGGTAAGGGAGGAACAGTACTGCACTGACCGAGGGACCGACTAGATGATTTCATAATGTCCCCTCCATCTCCAGCTTCTGCGGGGGATTCTGCAATGGGCAAAATCACACCCACTGGATGCGAGTGCGTGAGCCAAGGTGGATTGCGTAAATGGAAAAGGCTGACTATGGATTTTACAGCAGAGGAAAGTAAAAGCAGGAAGTAATTTCATTAAAACAGTTTTTGCCATTCACTCTTTACCTCCTTGTTTAGTTATTCCTGTAGTTTTCTGGGATGTAAGGAACTTAAAGAACTGGCAGAAACTTTCCAACGCAAGTCCCATCTTGCCAAGCTGAGGTATCTCTTACAGATGGGATGTAGGGGTGAGGAGACACAGCCGAAATATTTCAGCTTTTTCAACACTTCTCCCCTCCCCTAACAAAACAACAACAAGAAACCAGAAGTTTAATCAGAGGGTAAGAGGTAGTCTGGTCAGAATCAGCTCTCTTGACACTACATGTGGGTTAAGGAAATTTGTCAAAAAGTAATAGTAATCAAAAACCACTTGCATCTTCCCAGGTTCAAACTGTGCTCCCAGGTACAACAACAGAAGTCAATGCTTTGACGTAGTCTGGATTCAGAAGAACACTTATCCTAAAAACCTGAAGGCTTTTTTGGCCACAAACCAACAGAAACACATACTACCAGACCTATGAGATAACAGATAGCAAACAAAATCAAAACTTTCTTAGTGTGTAATTAGGCATCCTACAATAAACAGGCTAAGTAGGATGCTTTGAAGATAAGTCAAAGCAGTCTTTTGAAATAGAAACCTGTTAGTAGATCAGTATTTTCACAGTTTATGGTGAACTGTTTGGTTCACTAAACAGATATCAATCTTCTACTTGTTAAATTAATAACCATTGCCCAGGTGGCATGAATGAGACTAGCCTTGCGGACTTGGTGGGGCAGAAGCTGGAGATCTGGTATGCTTCCCTCTTTGCAGGAGACTGCAGTTGAGAAAACTTAGCAAACAGTAAGCTTTAATGACTCATTTCATATCATTTGATTTCTTCCTGTTACACATGATCGAGAAATCCCTTCATGCAAAAACGCAGGGTAAAAATAGTGGATTTAAAAGAGATATATTTGTTGAGTTCTGTTTCTTGGATTCTAAAGCATGATATTTGTATTTTATGCCTTAAGTACATCTAAATTGTTACACCATGGTTAAGTTCACTACTGCATGGTAATCTTACAGATATGCAATCTCACTAACATACTTTTGCCAAAGAATTTAGAAATGGAAAGGGGGCGGGGGAGGAAAGGAGGGAACAGTTGCCTATTTAATTTCTAACGGGCATGTCCAGAACAATAACTGGGTGAAAGGATGGAGCTAAAAAAAACCCACCTAGTGGCAAGTACTGGGGTAAATTATTAAAATGCCACATAACAGAGCAAAGTACCATGAATTTATTCCATTCACATTTTATACTTTTGTTCAAAAATAAGAAGTGAAGAATAAGCGGTGAAATCTAGGCTTGGGGTGGCGTGTGTCTTATTTTTTTTTAATTAGTTTTATAAAGAGCCACCTGACATATGAAACAAAAAAGACAAGGGAGCTGTAGAGCTCAAGCTTTGTTTCTGGCACTGCCACCGATTCATGGTGTCCTTGGTTAAGTCATAAATAGAGATAACTTCAACTGCAGGCTGTATCATACATTCCCCCAATTCATCCTGAAGCTCTGAAAGATGGTCTCAGATTTCCAAACACTGCCATTTCTGTATGAAAATGGTCAGAGAAGTGTCTGACCTATCAATGGTGCCTGGTAAGACCCTCATCTTCTCTCTACTTGAGTTTCCTCATCTCTGCCCTAGCAGCATAGTTAAAGATATGAAGAGAGAGAGGAAGGGAACAAAGTGCCCAGCCCAGTAAAGTTTTGTGCATCCTTTTTTCCTACTAAAGTCTGTAGCCTGGTGTTTCTTTAACATCTCCACTCAGTTCTGAAAGCAATTCAGTTCATGTCAGGATGGTGCTGTTGGAGCTGTGACTGTTAAAAAGAAAGCCAGGGCAGGGTTTCTTACAGAAGTCTCATTCTCTGCCTTATTACAAACTAACGTTGGGTGTATTTAATACCTGAGGGTTGTTTCCTATAGAAACACTAGAATCACTGGAGAAGTTACGCAAGAAAAGCAACACACATTTTTCTGGATGAGAGTCACAAACCAGTTCACATTCCCTTCTCACTAACAGAACCTCAAACCTCCAGCGAGGAGAAGAGTCGCTCTGGGATGGGAGCTAGACTCTCAGGTGGCAGCTACCAGCCCAGGATACACTCATTTCCACCTTGCCAGGACCTAGCAAGAACATCAAATGCAAAACTCTGCTTCCTGCTTTTGCAGAGTGAGGCACAACCTGGTCGGTGCTAGGGGATCTTTCTATGTCAGATGTGGAAACATTTCTACTGTTTTGTCACCTTCCTTAACTGTTAGGCCCTAGAACTGAGAAAAAAAAAAGAAAAAAGAAAAAAAAGGCAGGAAAAATACTGCTTGTTAAGTGAGATATTATCTGCGTTTTCTGACTCTCTTGTACGGGTGTCGGATACCATTTGGTTAAATGTATGTCAGCTCTCTCCTCATTTCAGAACTACAACTGCTTGCCTCATGAAATATCAGTTTCAGGAGAAAAATAAAAAGTGTGAACTCTGTGCGGGTCACACAGTATTTCAGTTCCTCTAGGAGCCAGCCATGCCTGGATTCCCAGAAGTGGGAATGCCTGTGCGGATGCAGGGTTTGGCTCACTCCCGCTAGTTTTGTATTCTTTTGGCCTGGCTCGCCCCTGCCACACCTGAATAAAATGCATGGCTGCAAAACACCACGTTTGAGCTGAGAAGACTGTTTCTAGACACTTATTTTCTTTCTGGGTTAAAAAACAAAAAAACCCAAAAAACCCAAAGAAATGTCCCAAACTGATTTTATTTTTTAATTTATTGGTTTTTAAAACGCAACCAAATGTACTAGTGAACCAAGTCACCTCATTCCGTAGGCTCAGAGAGTAAGCTACACCTGATGAGCATCACTCACAGAGCAGGAGAAATAAATAAAAGTGTTTTTCATCTGACAAGAATATCTCACACTCATGAAACTGTGCAATGGTCTAACTGGTTCACAATATATAGTAGAGCTTCCTCATCATGCAAGGAAGCATCCTAGAAGCATGCAGAACCTCAGGAGGAGGAGGAGGAGGAGAGGAGGGGGAAAAGTCCTTTCTGGATTCACCAACCTATGAGAAACAACTAGGTTACACCCCTGTACCTTCAGATCCTCTACTTTTGAGGTCTAGTAAGAGCTTACAAAGAGCCAATATCTGTGAACCTAACCTGACAAACTCCTGTTTCCAGAAGGCTGAGTTCACACACAACTCAGATCATAAATGAAATAAAATTATCAAGTTTGTTCTTTGGCCAGTTGTTCACAAATCCAGAAAACAACCAATACAACTCACAGCCTCTGCTCACAGAAAGTACCAGATGCTCAGTGGCAAGAACAGGAGGAAGAGTTCAAAGCAGATTTTTTTTTTTCTGTAATCCATTTATGTAGGTCTTCCTCTTATCAGAAGTTAAATTCTTCTTACACTGAGAGATATATATATATTTTTAAGAGAACCCTCTTTCAGTGCTATTCCCATCAGCATGATTTCCTAGAAAAGCTAAAGGGCACAGCAAAGTACTACAGCGGTTCAAATCCTGGAAAACTTAGAGAGCTACAAGTTATATACATATCTACATATATTATGTAGATATTTACATATACACAAACATTCAAAATGGCAAAGTTTCTTGCAAATCTTCCCTTTTGAGGGGAGAGGCAGACCATAAGGAAGGCAAAGCGCGTGACCTTCTAATCCACTCACTCCTGGACTGAAGGCAGCATCTCCCGCACCGCTCCTCCCCATGTCAAAAGGGAAAAAAAGCAATGCTCTGGTAAGAGGTAGCAGGTGTGGAGCTCAAATTAACGCCACTGGAAAGGATACCGCAAAGCTTAGGTGTGGGCATCCAGGGGAGCCTGTGCTGCTGCAGAGGAAGAGGAGGGTCAGTGCTCCTGCCCCCAGGAGCTCACGCAAGGAGAAGAGCTGGGCTCAAATCACAGCACCTCTCACTGCTCCGAGCAGATCCACAGTGCTTTGTCTGTACCAAGGATTAAAACCCCACTGCTTTTTCTGCTAGGGCCACACATGTTCCAAGCACAGCATGTATAGGGCAGGTTTTATTTCATTTACAAATTGTTTCAGCATGCGACAAAAAACTGATGTGTAAGTATATCCAGTCACCATTTTAAAATTGTTAGCTGAGGAGGGGAGTGCAACACGCCTCCACAGCACTGACTAGGAACTATTTCCCTATGCTAAACGTAACTGATAATCTTCTGTTGGCGTGAAGGTTTATAACATTGTTGTTCTTTCAGACAGAAAATTTCTTTGGTTTTCAATTTTCAGATGACATTAAAAGTGTTGAGAAAACTCCTCAACATTTTTGGAAAGGAAGGAGGAAAGAAAAGGGGAGAGAGAGAAAGAAAACTGTGTTCATATATTTCCGGAAAACCCAGTGACCTCGCCACCCACACTGGACCCAGACCTTCACGATCTCCTGTAGCTGGCCTCCAGGTCCCAAGCCAGCAGTGCTCAAGAGCTGTCTCGTAAGAAAGAGCCACACACCCGGCTATCTGGGGGGCGGCCTCGGAGACGGGGCTGTCATGCTCCAGGCTGAACACTAAAAGTGAAAACTGAAAGCCATTAACCGTTGCAGCTGCCAACACATTGGGGAAACTAGGAAAGAGACTAACTTGTCGTCTCTCAACCGCAGAGGCACAATGATATGAACGCGTATTATCCTGCTAAGTCAATTTTTTAAGGAACCACTTTCCAAGGAAGTTAAGAATAAAAACCTCCATAGGAATATCAATATGGGGTAAGAATGCAAAATTTTAGAAACCCAACTTGCTGCTGTTCAAAAATTTTTTGAAATTTTATCATCTTGGACAAAGATAGTTACAAGTGTAAAGACTCATGTCAGTCAGATCTTTTTTTCTTTTTTTCTTTTTTCATTTTTTAAATGTTTATAAGGAAAACCGAATGCTCTGGAAAAAGTCAAATAACCCTATGTGGTAAACACACTTTGTTTGCTTTTAATTAGTATTTGCCCCCTCCCACCTGGCAAACTTTGTTAGTTCTATATTTATTTTGTAACAATCAGAATTTTGCTCCCAAAGAGTGTAAATGTGCACCTGACCATGCTTCAGGGATATGCTACCCCAAGTTTAATACAAAATTACATTTATGCTTCTATACTCCCTTGACTTCTTTATTTACCCAGTTCCTTTTAAAAAAAATCCATGCACTGTTGGGCTTGATATCAAGTGATATCATTAATTATATCTCAATTCCCACTCTGGTTTTAAGAAAGACCCAAAACAATTTTACTGACAAGAAAAAACATTGTACTGTGCTAGAAAGATGAGCAGGAATTTAGGATTTTCTTTGTAGAGTTATTTGTTAAGGACCTCACCTGAAACCTGGGACATATCTTGAGCCTCATCTGTTTCCATCTTCCTCAAGTTATCTGAGAAGAGAGGAAGAGCCTTAAGTTAATGCAAAATAACACACACATACACACAGAAAAAGAAAAAAAAAAAACAAACCACCAACCCCCGACACACAGAGGAGAAAGAAGGGGAAAGAAAAAAAACACCCTTTACTATTTAACTATAAGATTATCAGGGAAGAATAATGTATTTTTCTCTTTATTTCCTCCCTGCATACTTGCTGGAGTATCAGACTGGCACAGACCTTGATCCTTTTAAAAACAGCATTACAAAGATTTATAAAAATATCATTACAAGCACAGGAGGACCAAATTTGTTATTTATTGTTAATTTCCTACTGCATAATAACCCAAAATGCAAACTGACTGCAACAAAATTAAGCAGAAAATTAAATGGCCCTGGGTCATTGTAGGCACAGAATTCATTCTTTTGGTTGATCCATAGTTATGTTCTTTCTAATTTACTGAGCATGCATCGATGAACCTTGAGTCAGCTTGGTGACACGCGTACAATCAGCAATCAAAAAACGAAGCAATTTGCTGAAGAATGTCTCATTTACCCAGGCAGGGCTGCATATCTGAGCAGCCGCCGCCACTACCGCCATTAATAATGAATACACCTCCAGCCGCGACAGATGGGCAGAGCGGCAGCTTCAGGCTTTGGCCCCTCGCTCGCCCGGGAGCCCTTCCTTCAGACCGCACCGGCCCGGTGCTGCGCGGGGGAGAAGTACAGCTCCCGAAAATAGCGAAACGAGCCCAGGAGAGAAAGGGAACCCGTGCCTTCCTGTTTTGCTGACAGATGGCTGGCTCCACGGCCTGGCGAGCGATGCCGGGAAGCTCCTGCCCTCCGCTTGCGACACACCGTCTTCTGAGGAGCCAGTGACCACAAGCACCGGGGAGAAGCGTGCGGAGGGTTAGTGGGGTAGAAACAAAACTCAGGTTTTCAGTCAGAAGGGGACCCTGCAGGTCCCAGGGCTGGAGCGCCGGCTGCGGACAGCTGGTGGCCCCTTGGATAATAGATGTGCTGCTGGAGCAGGTGGTCCCAGCACAACCTGGTCCCCACCTTGAAGTATGGTGTGGGCAGCTGAGGTAGCCTCAGGTGGGGAGGGGAGAAAAAGCCTACGAGCTCTTTGTTCAGCCATGGTATGCTAGGTCACGTCTTCAGCTGGTATGGCTGGCTTCATATCCTGCCAGGCAGAGGAGCTGGCTCTTTGCTCTTCCTTATAACTGAGATACCTGCCCCATCACCCCCGTCTCCTGGAATTGAAGAAGATGCATTTTCTTGAGGGTTGGAAGCAGAGGAGGATGTGGCTGCAGTTCCTACGGAAAAGGGTTCAAAACTTACCCCAACCTTTTTTTTCCTTGATTTCCACAACTTTTTTTTTCCCCCAAAAAAGTCTTCAACCTGCTACCCAACCAGCTGCGGTGGGAAAGCATGATAGCCGTAGTCATATTTATTAATTTCATAAGTTTCATCTTCTCCTCACTTGCTTCTGAATGTCATCAGTACGTCTGAGATTCCACATACTGCTGCCCGCCCCTTGCAAAAGCTGGCTTCCCTCACCAGGTGCATGCTAGACTTGTGAAAAGAGAGCGTGTAGACTGCAGGACTGCAGACAGGCTGGGGAACAGATTTTGGTCTATGCAGTTTGTAAAAAAAGTTTGGTGCTTTTGCAGAGCTTTCTGCCTGTTGCACATGCACCACAGCACTACTTAATGTCCAATAATGCTCTGTCTTGCTTTATTCTGCTCTTAAACTTTGATTCCAGCCAAGCAATTTGTTTAACGTCTATATATAATTCCCAGAAATGACTACAGCCATGCAAAATGCAAAAAGCCACCTACCACTCAACAATCTGCATCAGTTCCTATGGGACTGAGGAACTTTCAATAGGTCCATTTTTAATGAAGTAGTCAGTGGGGAATGCAGCTTTTCTTGCAGGAGGGAAAACCCTACCATGGTAGCCTGCTCAGTTACTGGAAACGTGGTGTAGCAGGTGGTACAGTACAAGTGCTCGATATAGCCCCTTATTTCTCCTGCAAACATGACTGAACACAAAGGAAGAAAAAAAGAAATGCCTGTGCATCTATTACTGCCTTCCAGGGTCACCCGGCTACTATTAACCAGTTGATTACTGCACATTTTTCCACAGAGTAGAGTGAACCCCAACCAACTGAAGAAAACACCCCAAGAAAACACCCACCAGAAGGCAGCCACACTCATGACGGGCATGTTGTTCCGACTGCAGCTGCCTTCTCCCCACTGCTAGGGCTTCGGCATGGCTGGAGCGACGAGGGGAGGAGGTGGCAGAAGAGAAAATTATTCTATTTTCGCATTCCTGAATTTACCTGCCTTTGGCATGACAAGCCTGACATTCAGCATTTCTGCAACTTAAGCAGGACACTTCTCAGCTGTACTCCTTCCTGCCTCTTGCTGCCATCAGGCAGAATTCAGTTTGAAAACACTTCCCAGTTCTTAAGCGGAGAGGTAAACTGGAGTACAGATTGTTGGGTTTTTTTGGTGGGTTTTTTGTTTGTGGGTTTTTTTTTTTTTTAATGGAGGTAAACTGGAGTACAGTTTGTTTTATTTTTTTTTTTTTTACTGGAATACTCCAAAGCATGCTTTCTGTGAGGTTGGATGACTGCCTCTCCTGAAACAGATGCCCTCACTTCTCAAAGATGTGACCTCAGGGATTATCCTTAAATTAGGTGATTTTAGGACATTCAGCAAAGCTGATCCATTCCCCAGGGATGAAACATGGAGAGAAAATAGAGCTGGTGAAAAAGTGATGAGGAAAAGATCTTTTTTCCCCTAATGATTACTTAGAACAATTAAACATACTTCCTAAATGTAAATTAAGATCCACAAGCACAAAGTGTTTTGAACCCCTCCCAGGGGAAAATTGTACTCTAACACCATAGCATCCTGTGATCCTTGGTAAATACTGAAATCCCAGCTAACTTCAGCTTAGGTTCTGTATCAGCAAAGAATACATGACAGGGCACCCCCCACCCCCAATTCTGCAATGTCAGCAGTGTTGGTTTTGACTCTATGACTGTTAAAAGGTTTTTCACACTAGACTTGGGAATAATGTGCCTTGGGCTAAATTTTAAGTGCTAAGAGTAGGATTTGCTTCTTTGCTTTTGGTATGGCAAATCTACGAATAGGAAACTATGCCCTTTTTCCTCTTTTTCCTCCTCTGCTCTAGAATTGGCAGAAACATTGTCGCTGGCTTCCCAGAAAGCAAGAGAGCCCTATGTGTGGATAAAAGGATTTGCACCAAAGTATCTATTTGATATCAATTTGTAAATTAATAGATCTTTACAAAGATTTGTCTAAAAGAACACTATTTTAGAAGTGTTTATGATGTGAAACCCTAAATATCTGTCTGTTTTGGCAAGAAAAAGAATTGTTTTGCAATATTTCATTCTAAGTTTTATCTACAGAATCACTAGCGTAAGTGTGTATGACTTCACTGTCTTCCATGCAGTCACATCTATTTAGGTTAGCAGCTAATTCAGGTGTCTGAAGTTAGAAATCAAAAGATGGGTGGGCAAGTGACCGAAGCAAACTTGCTCTCAAATGCTGAGTGTGTGTAGGTCTCATTTATAGGAGAAAAGAGATCAGCACCTAGGTGATAATAGGTATTTCTTCTATTTAGGCATCCAAATAGCTTCAAAGTTTGGGCCCTTATTGAAAGAGCTACAAAGCTCCCTTCAAAACAGATAAAACTATTTCTTCAAGTCTTTTCAGATACAGAACTCTAACCTGTACGTTTTCCTCTTCAGACTCCAAATACCAGATTCATAGATGAAGCTACCATAATGCTTTGGAAAAAGAATCAAATGTTTCAATTTTAAGCTAGTTAATAATCAACACACAAAAAACCTGAAAGGCTATGTTGATTTTGTTTTAAATAAGGAAGCACCTAACTGACTACGCTCATACAAAAATTTGGGATTTAAACAAGTCAGCATTTGTCCAGGTTATCATCTTGACCCCAAAGAAAATTTACACGTGACTGATTTCCCTCCTTGCAACTCTCTCTACAATAAAACTTGTGCTATGTCTTAAGAATATATCAAAATACACTCCATGAATCACTGAGGTACTGCTCCATTTATGCCTAGAGTCAATTACAACCAGAAGTGGATTTGGGACCTTTTAGGATTCCAGGTGTAAATAGGAAGAAGTCATCGCACGGTCAAGATTTCCTAATCTTTCAGAATAAAGCAAATTAATTATTTGCAAGTCTTGCTTTATTATTTCATCTCCTGTTTTACAATGCAAATTCAAAAGTAAAACTCCCTGTCAAGAAAAAGAATGCTTAGCATTTATAGAGTGTTTTATCAATGAAAAGAAATGTGTAAGCACATCAATCCTTCTACAAACCCTGCTCTCTCAGGATATTAAAAGGTGGCAAGGTTGGGCCATTGATACAATTCAATGGAATGGCCTAATCCAATGCCAAAAACTAGCTATTTTGTTTTCTTCTTTGTTTCCCAAGCTACGTATGTGCTGACTTCTCTGAGACAACATGTGCTTCACACTCAGCACAGAGGGACCTCACTTATGGTACAGAAATGAAATCACCACTTTTGACATTTGTGGAGCCACTTTGGACTTACACCAGCACACATAAACTCAGAGCTGTCCTTCCATCTACAGACAGCTCTACTTCTGGTGCTGCAAGGAGTCCACAAACATACACCACGTCCAGCTGTGCGTTCCCTCACTACTTGTACGTGTAGCCTTGCTGAGCAGACAGAAAGGTCCCTGGAGGAATATTTCTATCTCGAGTGTACCCTGACGGGCAGGTACACTTTTCCACAAAGCCTCAGAGCAGAAAAGAGGAGAGCTCTCAAAGTCTGTAGCGGGGAGAAGAAACCTTCTACAAGGGACCTGGTATTCTGCAAGTGCTTTTCCAAATATAAAAAGAGAGGGGAACACATGTTCCCCAGCAGCAGCAGCTCTGGGTTAACTGCGATAAAACAAGCAAGCGA